GACATAACATATGAAATAGAAAGGACATTACTTTGGACTGTATCGAATAATGTAACAGCTGTTTGACATAACATATGAAATAGAAAGTATAGAACAAAATAGGAAATGGCGGAGTTCAAACAACATTGTTCACGTATTGTGATTGAAGCCTTATCCTGATTCAAAAGAACAACTAGATGATGAAAGAAAGCCCAATATTTGCAGAAAACCTGTTTCAAGAAGCCAGACAAAATTGTAGCAGGACACTGCTTCTTTCCAAGAAGGGAGTTATGTAGAGAAAATTGTTCCTTTCGACCAAGCTCATTATGGCTCAGTGGGTAAGACAAGATTCGGAAACCGAAGGTCCTGAGTTTGAAACCCATCAAAGGCAAGCTGCCTAAAAAATTGGTTTTTGTTTAAATTTCATCCCTGTTAATTTGTTTCTTTAATGTTCTATATATTGGGTAATTTTCTCCATTTTCTAGAATATTCCAGCTCATTTATCATGTGTATGTAAGTAGTTACTCATTCAGTTTGTACAATAAAGTCATACTTCTTCAATTGTACGATAACGTCAACTACACAATATATATTACATCTTGATAAAAATAAAAATCTGGATTATTATGTGTCTTGCAATAAGAATAAAACCTTTTCATTTCATCACATGAATGAAAGTTGTCTTTACCTTTAGATCATTTAAGTTACTCAATATTTATTTTCTATGCAAGTGCTTCAGTCTGTTGCTCTTTTGCTGTAATGCCAGAAATAGCTTTTAGAAGCTTTCTAGAACTGCTCAAATATTCTATTCAGCACAGATTTTGTACTGTCAAGCACCGGCAAAATCATTTGATCACAGGCAGCAGTTTAAATGCAACATAGTTAATGAATTTACCAAAATTCTAATAATGAACACAGCTACAGCATAAAATTGCAAATGCGGTGGTATATAAAAGGAGGGGGGAAAGGTGTTACCCTGCTTTAAAACATTATTAAGCAAACTATTTGATAATTTGGCAACATTCACAATAATCTGGAACTAAACATTTTGCAATTAATATTTTCCTGGAAACATTTGGTTAAATGAGTTATTTTATTTATTTTTTGAACACACACACACCACTCCCCCCCAAAAAAAAACTGCATTGAGCTTTTGTATAACATTAAAAGTTTATTGATTGATTACAAATTAGTAAAACTTTGAACCACATGGATAGGTTATATTATGGTTACTTATCTAGCTCTAGTATTTCAAAAATAAAATTACAAATTCTCATTCATTGCAATAAAGCAAAACTACCACAACACCTTACAATAAATCTTTCAAGATCAACTAGTAAATACTAACAAATTCATTGTTTTTCTTTTAAACAGAATATTAACTTTTAGCATTACCCATCTATGGCCTGAAACCAACACTCATATTTGTTTTTACTATCACAAAGCAATACTAGTTGATGGATGGTTCCCCAGCAGTGCAGGGTTATGTATATATAGATGGAAGACAAAATAATATGAACACCTGTGAAATAATAGAAAATCTTTATTAATAGGGGGTTGGACCACCCTTTGATTGAAGTACAGATTGAATGCAATGTGGGATAGATGCATAAAGGTGATGGATAATAAATATTTAAAGGTATATTAAGCCATTCCTCCTGCAGAGCGATCTCTAATTCCGAAAGTCCGGATGGAGGTGGAAATCGGGAATGAAGTTTGGACTCCAAATATGCCCATAAATGTTTAATAATATTCAAGACCGGAGACTGAGGGAGCTAAGCGAGATGTTCAGTTGCATTGTCATGCTCTTCGAATTATTCTTAAATACACCTAGCAGTGTGGATAGGGGCGTTGTTGTATTGAAAAAGTGGCACTCCCCAGGGAATACAGTCTGGACAAAAAGGATGGACATGATCCCCTAGAATGCTTAGATAGTGTTTGGATGTGATCCTCCCATGCAGAATAACAAGTGGCCCAAGACCGTGCCAAGATATTGCACCCCATATCATAATGGCGCCACCCCCATGCTTCAGAGTCAGCAAGATGCAGTCAGTAGAATGAAATACTTCTATATTCTCCAGACATAAATGCGTCCAGTCGTCTGAAATAGGGTAAATGACGATTCATCTGACCACATTACCTGTTGGCACATCTATGGGGGCCGGCTTTGTGCTCTCCGCACCATTGGCGTTGCTTGAAAGCATTAGTTGCTGTCACCAAGGGTTTACGAATTGCCACTCTGTCATAAATGTTTGCAGCATGAAGTCCCCTTTTGACAGTTTTTGTTGAAACGGGGTCCTGGAGATGACTATTCATTTCGGATGTTATCTCGGATAACGATTCCTTGTGCTTTTGGGCTACTATGTGCTTCAAGACCCATCTATCCCTATCAACCACTGTTGTGCTTTGAAGACGTTGTCTTACCCTCTTCTGTGTACACTATAATAACGGCTGATACCGTACTCCTAGCACACCCCACAAGCTTTGCTCTTTTCATAACCGATGCTCCACTTAAACGCACTCCCACTATCCTTCTTCTTTGGAACTCTGGCAGGTCTGACATTTCAACTTTTCACAGACAGTTTGATCGAAGCATGCAATGCAGGTGACTGCTGTTGAGAGAATGATACTTTCCTCTTCCCGCTCACTAGGTGGCAGACTTTTGTTGCAGGTGGCGCGGCTGTACTGCAGGTATGAAATACGTCATACTTTTTCACAGGTGTTCGCATTATTTTGTCCTCCATGTGTTTATAAGCTACACAAGCTATAGCTTAGGGCCCCACCCCCCAAAAAATTTAAATATAGTATAACAGTCTCATAAAGTGCACTATAATCTCAAATAGCTTGGGGTGTTATCAAATCTAAATCCGGCTCTGTTCCCCAGTTATCAACCAGGATAAAGCTTCAAATACGTATTAATGTTTACTAGGCTGGTAATACTGTCAGAGCTATGATAGCATACTAAGATATTTATTTGCACATAGAAGCTGAACACTTTGACTGAACAAACTGATCACAAATTAGGACTGTGTTGGTTCTTATCAGCAAGCATCCAAACACATAACAGCTATGCAAGAATCGAGAGGCTCATTCATCTCATTAATTTAAATACAATGTCAATTCAATTTTTAATTAATCAGGTATAGACTATTCAAAATCTAATAGCTTTGAATTATTAAAAACAAATATAAATTTTTTTCTACTGACTTACTTTTTAATGTCAATATAAAATTAAACTAATTTTAATTAACAGTATTTTAAAAATATAAGAATACCGATAGTAGCATAAAATAGTAGCTAAAAAAATTGCATTTGAAGGGAACAACAGTAAGATGGTCTGAGAAACATTCTAATTTAGAAATGGGCTCCACAGCTGGAAACAGTTATAGAAATACTATTTTAAAGAATTAATTATTCAGATTTGAAATATAAAGATAACACATTTTTGTTTAAGAAATGCAGTTATAAATTATATTCGTTAAAAAAAAGTTCAACATTTTCATAATACTTTTATTCAATAAATAACATGTAAGTTACGTTTTATATGAATATTGAATGCATCACAACTAAAACTTTAATCTTAATAAAATATAATAATTTTTTAGGTTTGAGATAAAAAGAAATTTTATCCTAATTAAACACTTTTTATTAATCAATAGCTGAAAAATTATGTTTGGAATTTTATTCATGGCAATGTCTGCAAAGTTATGGCCCGAAATTATACATTTAACACAGCTTTTAAGCTTAAATAAAATAGCTGGATGTTTTCCTTTACAGGAAACATGCCCAATAATTTTTGTTAGATGATACATTTAAGGAAACATGCAAAATAATTTTTTGTTAGCTGATACTTTTAATTTAAGATTTTCAATGGAAAAATACTCTAATCACAATCTTTCTTATTTATGTGACAGATCCATTCAAACAGACCTTAGCTGAAATTCTTCCTTTAAATTAAATGCATTGTTCTTCTTTTAATAACAGTGGTCTTGTTTTTAAAATAGGTATTATCAATGAATATTTGGTTCTTTTCCGTTTCACCGGCGCAAATCTCGCCAAGCAGACTTTGTTGGCGACAACATACAGTATACACATAAAAATGTTAGTTCTAAGAATTTTTTATTTTGAAGGCATAAACATTTTAATATGGTTTAAAATTTTGTAAAAAGCCAATAAATAAAGACAATAAATTTGTAAAAAGACATTAATTTAAGAATTTACTATGCTATCATGGTTCAACATCCTGATTCACCGGTTCATATCACGTGACCCCAAGTGATCTCATCTCACGTAAACTACGCTACAAAAATATAATTCTCTCAGTAATTATCTGCATTAATTTGAAGTTAAATCTTAATTTGGAATACAAGTTTAAATGCAAGAATTATTTCAATTCGTACGAATAGCTTACTCAGAAATTATGTAAAACCGCAGTGCTTTACTTAGCTGGTGCATTCTCATTAGAATTAATTAATTTAACCCTTGATTTTGCCTTTTTTATATTTTCGCTTTCGAGTAGAGGTGTGATCTATTTCATTCATCTATTCTATACATCCTAATTGACTTAATTACCGCAAATGGTCTTAGGGCATAAAATTTAATTATCTTTGTAAATATTCTATGTAATTGTATGCCAGTATTGAAAGAAACAATCAAGCTGGTAAGAAATGGCTGAGACTTGTTTTGGAAATGAGGCGTAAAAGGTTACCAGCGAAGATATTCCGTTTGGCATCAGTTGTACCATTATTGGTGACTTTATCGTTTGCGCCGGCAAAACGGAAAAGTACCGAATATTTTTAGTGTCATTCAGTTTTAGTTCTTTTTTTTATTGAAATAACTATGAGACATTATTTCCTATGATTAGAGAAATGTTACCATCATGTTTTTTATCATGCAAAGGGTAAATATTTTTTTTTTAAAGAAAAGAATTGTCATATGTGGAAAAAATAAATTCACCTAATTATGCTCCTTATAATAAAAGAATTTCCACTGATCATAAAACACTTAATTTTTTCCCTTACCATATCAAGCCGATCTTCAATAAATTCACTAATTGCTTCCTCCACTGAACTGGATCGAACAAAATTTGGAATAATAAAATTTGGCAAAATAAGACTAGATAATTCACAAGCCAGAGCTAACTCTTCAGAAACAGATCGTGCTGTATACGAGAGGAATCGCAGAGCAGCTTTCACTGTGCGAGATGTTAGACAGTTATTCAAACATTCTGCAACTGATGAAACCTGTTTCAGGTGCAAAAGAAAATAATGTAAATTTAATTTTTTTAAATAAATATGAAAAATAAATTGAACATGAATGTATAAAACATGGTAAATAAAATAAATGACTGCTTCTAGATGTAAAAGGTCTGGCTATTAATTTCCAGGACTGATGTAACTGTAGGAGAACGAAAAGTCGGAAGATGGCACTACTGATTGCATACTGAAGAGCGTTTTCTTAAGCATGTGCAGTGCAATCGACGCCATTCTGAAGTAAGTGGTTCTCGTGATAAGGCGCATTAAAACCTAGCTCTTAAATTCCTATTGTTGAAGTAAAAATGGAGTAAAGAATTAACATTAAATTTTGCTTCAAATTGGTCAAGACAGCTGTGGAAACCTACGAAATGTTAAAACAAGTTTACGGCGAGGAAGCATTATCCCACTCAAGAACTTTTGAATGGTTTAAACACTTTGGGACGAACGCGAAAGCGTCAAAGATGATCCACGCACGGGTTGGCCACAGTCCGTACGCACGCTGGAAGCAACTGAGAAAGTTCACGATATGGTGAAATGTGATCGTTGATTGACTATTCGAGTACTCGCCAATGAATTCAACATGAAAAAGAGATGGTTTGGAGAATTTTGATGCAAGACCTAGGCAAACGCAAGATTTGTTCCAGATTCATTCCTCACCATTTAAGGGACGAACGTGAAAGCGTGGAAGATGATCCACACACAGGTCGGCCGCAGTCCGTACGCACGCCGGAAGCAATTGAGAAAGTTCGAGATATGGTGAAATGTGATCGTTGATTGACTATTCGATTACTCGCCAATGAATTCAACATGAACAAAGAGACGGTTCGGAGAATTTTCACACAAGACCTAGGCAAATGCAAGATTTGTTCCAGATTCATTCCTCACCATTTAAGGGATGAACAAACGCAATTGAGACTGGATGCAATGTGGCGAATTTATTGACAATGCTGATGCTGACCTTGCGTTCTTTCACGGGAGACGAGTCTTGGTGTTATTAATATGACCCTGAAATTAAGTGTCAAAGCTCTGAATGGCGATCTCCAAGTTCACCACGGCAGAAAAAAATTTCGACTTGAAAAGTACAAAATCAAGGTCATGTTAATCACTTTTTTTGATTGCAATGGACTCATTCATCATGAATTTCGTTCTCCTAACATGACTATCAATGGATAGTTCTACACAGAAGTTCTTGACTGACTTCAAAAACGAATTTGTAGAGTGAGGCCTCATTTTCAACAAAATGGGAGTTGGCTACTGCTACATGACAATGCCCAACCACACATTGTGTTGCCTGTGAGGTGATTCTTAGCCCAGCATGGTGTTGTTGAAATGCAGCATCCACCATACTCTCAAGACCTAGCACCCGCAGACCTTTTCCCTGTTTCCTAAGCTGAAAAATTCGCTGAAGGGAACAAGATTTCAGGTGCCGAAGCCACCAAGAAAACTGTAACGTCACTATTAAAGAGAATTCCAAAAGAGGACTTTAAAACTTCTTTCCAAAATTTGCACAGATGTGCATTACGGCTGAAGGGGATTACTTTGAATCATATTAAATGGCTATGTGTTTAACCTTTTTTTTCTTCTGAATTATTCCATGAGTCCTGGAAATTAATAGCCGGACCTTGTATTTATTTATTTACTTTTGGTTTAATGAGTTTAAGGACAGAATTATTTAAAATATACGAGCACAATTAAAAATAGGAGAGAATTAATAGATGCAAAATTTACAAGAAGTGAAAGCATTGCTTTATTTCTACATAGGCATTACATCATTGCAGCTTATGAACTGATCCACTTAAATAGGATAGTCGCTAACCACTATTCTATTTAAGTGGGCTATGCACATTTTACTAAATAACTGAACTTTGTTAAAAACAATGCAGAATATTTCTTCGAAGTTTAGAATTGTAGCATTGAGTTTAAACAATATATAAAATAAGGTTAGGTTAGGTTAGGTTAGGTTATTTAATTACGGCAAAGCCTTGAGGGCTATCTGCCTATGGGAAGGGATGCCTTCATGGAGGACTTTCTAAGGGAAATTGGATCGTATATATGTTACACATGGGGAAAACCATGAAAACACCCATGCAGCCAGCCCGTTCGTGGGATTCAAACCTCAGACCAAACTACTAGTGTTCAGCGACTAAAGAATTTGAATAATATAATAATACCATACTAAGAAATTTGGACTGAATGATGTATTATTATATATAATTGTAATAATAATGTGCAGTATATTTATTCAAATTATTAATATTCAACTAACTTTCACCACACTTATTTACTTGATAAGAATAAAAATAAAAACTTACTGAAAACTGGGGACCAACAGTATGCATATTTCTTACAACTCTAATTTCCTCTTCATTTAGACCTAGAAGTAATAAATCTATGCAATTTTTCTTTTCCATAGATACATGAGAAATTATATAGCCTATTAATGAAGTTAAAGTACCTTCATTTAGCAAAACTGCACGCTCAACAGACAGCAATGACCGTGGACGTCTGATGTGTATTCTATCAGCTGCAAGTCTTAAATTTCTAGCAATTGTTCTAATTCTTTGTCGTTGTTGAGCATTTAAAGCACCTAAAAATATTTATAGATATTAATTAAATAATAATTATCATGTTAATAAAATGACATGAAATAATTAACTGAAATGAATTAAGATACAAGAAGATAACTAATTAATACTATCAAAGCTCCAAATTAAAATTTATTGAATGATCTTATAAATAATTTGAAGAAATGCATAGTTACCAAATAAAAAAGGCAAAAAATTGGAAAACTCCCAGTCAAGTGTTTGCAGTTTTGTAACTTAATTTCACTCCTCCCTCCTTAAATACATTTTTCTATATTTCAGAAAATGGAGGAGAGGGAATTTCAACTAATAAAAGAAGTAATATTAACCCCTTAACTGCCACGGAAAACGTATAAGATTCATTTCCCAATGCCACGGTTTTTCACACAGACGCGCATAGTTATGCAATTTATTGGGGGAAAATAAGTGCAAGTTTTACTTTCTAAAAGCTGCTTATTTTCACAAAATAAAGAATAAAAGAAAAAAAATTAATGCACAAAATTTAATGTTTTGAGTAAAAGTATAATAAAAAGATGTAAGTATAATAAAAATGATGTTTTATAATAGAAAAGATCCCTAAAATGGAGTTTCGATCAATTCATTTTTAGACTAGTAAAGTGTAATATCAGATTTCAGTGTTATACCTTGTGAAACCAGCATGCCTAAAACAACATATATTTCTTCTGAACTGGTTGAATGCCACGATTTTGTTCTTGATTTTTCGTTTGCAAGGTGTTGGTTCATATACTCATCTACAAAACAGATTCAGTAACAATATGAAGCACGAGCAGTTCATCAAAAAATAATTCAAAAAAGATAAATGGGTTTGAAACATCCGTTATATCTTTCTTTATTCCTGGAACCTACTACAAAAAGTAAATGAAAACGGAGGACACAGAATAAAAAATATACGTTTTACTCAAACAACACCAGCCAATGTTGTGCAATCACGGTTTTCACTGCTTTAGACACATCCCTCTCTCCAATTTCTCCCATACTTCTCTGAAATAGTATCCTCCTTCGCATACTTTGTCAAGGTCATTATGGTGTTGCATTCCAAAGCTTTACGAATAATTTTACAGGTAGTAGTGCAAAGCAAATGATAGTATTTTGGAAGGGCGTATATATACGCCCGGGGCAGTTAACGCATCGGCTGAGCAAGGCATATATATACGCCCACGGAAGTTAAGGGGTTAATCAAAAAATTTAATGATTCAAGAAAAACTATGACGCCTTTTACTTCAATGTATTTAATAGCACAATATTGAGTTTTTCAAGCAAAAAACAAAGCTGGGTTCATATTGAATTTGAAGTTTTCATCTGATTTATTCTGCTAGGATTATATTATTTTGCAATAACTATCCTGAAAAGTTTCCATTCAGAATAAATGTAGCCAAAAGATATAATCTATTTTCCTATAGCAATTAACATCCGAAATGCTTCTTACCACAATTAATGCTGTAATAATGAAATAAATTTCAGACATACTTATTAAGAATCAATTTCTGAATGCAATGAAATTAATTTTTGTGAGAAAAGGATACAAAATTTTGAGCTATATTATGAAAAATGTAATGTCTTAATAATTATGAAATTTAAACAGAAAATAGGTTAAATTGTGGAAATATGACACTAACATGTAAACAAACATTTTTTTTTTTTGTTTAATTTTTAAACAACATTTTTTTCGGTAATTTTTTTTTTAAGGGAAGGGAAGGGCAACTAAAAAAGTTCTGAAAATAAAGTTGCATAAGTATTTGGACAATTTAGACAGTTTATTTAACAAAAACATTAAAATAACGAAGGACATCTACAGCTAAAATTGCACCTTTGACATGGATTCAACTAATTGTTTCAAGCTAGAATGTTCCATTCCTCTGTAAGAAATGCTTTTAGCACAGCTTTCAAAGAAATATATGCTTCCTTACTCTTTTCTCCCATTCACTTCTTTCATGTTCATTAGGGCTTAAATTCAGAGAAGACGGGGGAGTTTTGATTGCTTAAGAATAATTGTATAATAACCAATAGCAAATTTTAAGGCCATATTTTTAGGATCATTATCCTGACATAGCTTGTAGTATTTTATACTTCAAGTTTTCTTGCAGATGCTTTCATGTTTTCAATAAGAATATTCATAGATTTATAATGTAGTATACTATTTTCTATAAAAGCAAAATTTCCCATTTGAGAGGCAACGAAACATGCACAAACCATTAAGCCTCCACTTCTATGCTCAGCAATAAGGCAAGACATTTTTTCATGTTCTTTTATTTCGGTTTCGCCCCAAAATAATTCACCGATTAAGCCTAAAAGTATTAAATTTTGACTTTTTTGAAAACGTAACATTGTCCCAATATGATAAATTGCTTACCATGCATTTTGAAAATGCCAGGCATATCTCCCTTGCTTGCTAGTTGATGAAGAATATTTTTCTTCTTGATCACTGATTGTATCTATTTGCTTTAATGATTATTTTCACATTTAACTTTTATTGGATATTGTTCTTTTAAATCCCCTGCAAGTTTTACAGTTTTAATTTTGGCGTTTCATTTCATTTTTTGTTGGTAAATCTCCGATTCCTTTGTGTTATCTTGGAAAGGGTTCCAAATTTCACTGCATTTTGAACAGTCCCACATAGTTTCCATCATTTTAATAACATCAAAAATAGTTATATACAATATATTTATCATCTTTAAAACAAACTCAAACTGAAAAAAAAAAAAAAAAAAAAAAAAAAAAAAAAAAATCAAAATTCTAACAGAATTTGTCATTAATATATAGTGCGTTGTATGTTCACTTCAGATATGAAACAGTTAATCTATTTTGCTAAACAAGTAAAGTAATAATTTCCAAGTACAGGAAAAAAATCTTATGATGTATTTCCATTTGAAACAAAAAATTATGACAAGAAATGTCATCTTCTAAATCATTTCAGCATAATTTTTGAGTCTACAAACTTTCTAATTATTACCCCTAATTATTAATTAGCATTTTTTAAATAAATTATTTTTTACTCAGAATATTTTGGTGATATTTATAACAAGAAAATCTTAAAAAAAGAAAGAAAGAAAGAAACCTGTGTTTCAGTATTTAGAACAAGATTTAAGCAAATAAATATCAAAATATATATGTTTGAAAACAAATATGAGCCAGTATCACTTACTAATACAGCAACATCTGCTTCCCTATACTTTACATCCATAATTATGCTTCCTTTGATTCCAAAGGTACTATTGTCCAGCAACAAGTATGGTATTTGCATACCCTCCACAATTCAGAGTTCTGTGCTTCTTACAAAATCAATAAAACAAATCAACTCTGTTTTTGTCTTTGCATAACAAATAATCATCAGTATTTACTTTGGATGACCCAAAACTTTGCATGCTTGAGCCTTTTTCAAAAATAATATATACATTAACTCCTAATCAACTATCTGGCATAAAATGAAATGGAAAAGATATTAAGCGATTAAATGGATGAGGTATGGTCCAATATTTCTCTTTAGTATTTCAGCATTATTTTCTACATTCTTCTTTCACGTTCTACATACAGAATGTGAAAGACCAATTTACCCCATGCCCAATTAGTAACTGGAAGTGCTAACAAGACATCTTCAGGAAATTTTTTTTCATTGAAATAGAAATCCACAAATATTCTTTGATAGTGAGAGGCTTTGGGGGGAAGTGAGCTGTAGCACATTTGAAAAACATTTAAGGGAAGCGATGCTAACAGGAGTAAATGTATAAAAAACAAGGGGGGAAATGAGTTTGCTAGAAATGCAAAATATGAATAAAATATTCACAAATTAAATTATCGCACACACACATATATTTACGGCCATTTTATGAAATGTAATAATATGACATCTAGTGATGAATAAAAAAAATAACCTATCAGGCAAACATACCAGTCGAGCAATTGAATATTGGGTAAATGATCTGATGTGGTTTTTAAACATGTACACTTAGCAGGATTCTCAGTGACCTCATTTTTTATAAATGTTTTAATGTTATTATAAATGTCCACTTTTTAGCTGTTTTTACTGGCTGGAGAGGGCAGGAGAACTGGCTATTGGATTTTGCTCAATTTTTTGGAATAGCCAAGTAACAGTCATAGACTATAGTTCATGAATCACTGATGGCAAATTTCAATTATGATTTTAGCAATAACCATTTGTCAGTCATGAAATCTTTTTCTATTCATTAAGACTGGATAATGGCAGCCATTATAGTAAAAGGGTTTATATATTTTGAGCAGGGATGAATCAAATGGAAGTTTCATCTTTTATTTTACTTTTGATAAATGTAGGTAGATGAAAGAAAAAGTTTAGAATTCATCTTCTTGGTTTTGTTAAAATTTGAAGTAGAGTGCAAAGTCTGAGACCTGGAAGTCCAATATCCAGAATGATCTAAATTCCACAATTCAAAGCCACAAACTTTTTTGTATGCTTTACCCATGCACATTTGATTTTTCCTCCTATAATAAAACGTGGAGAGTCCCAATTCTTAATTTTACTCAGGCACTAAATAAAATACCTCGTTATTTATGAAGCAATCCTTTAAGCATAACTTTGTCAGATCAATAATTTGGCTACGTAGCTGTGTATCTGCTTGGCACACATCTCAAACCGAAAAATATTCTACAAGTTCTAAGTTCCTCTGTTATACTGAAATATCGTACAGTAGGTACGACATTGTCCATAGGAAAATCGTTGATTTTATACCTACTAGTGTTTTATATGCCTGACGCCGACCTGGCGAATCATTACTTACTATATTTTGCTTTCATCACCGTTTACCAATACATGATAACTTGAGTAATGACTCATGCAGCAATGTCTAAACTTTTTTTATATATATATTAGTAATTGAATAACAAGAATATGGCAACCATTTATGCTGACATTACGTTTGGTGATGATTACAATTAAATGCGCTAAGAAATATCAACGAGGAAAAATTCAACAAAAATTTCTTTTCATATGCTAAAAATAGATTTTGATAAT